TAAGAAGATAGGAATTTTTTCTAACTAGTAACACAAGCTAAACAATTAGTTTTGATTTTGTTACTATCTTTCCTTATCAAATCAATACATTGAAAAAAAAAGAACAAATATATCCTATTCTATTGATTCAATAACGCTTCTTAATAAGTTTTGTGTATTTAATTTGTATCAAATCTTCAACTGAACATGTTGATACATTTCATTCATTGTGAAACAATGTAGAAAATTAAAACATTGTGTTTATGGATGCTTTACATCAATTGCTTATTGATAAATAAATGCTATTCCAAGTATTTAAAATATAATTCATGTGAATATGTTTTTTTTTCTTTACTATCAATTCGTTCTATATAACAATTAATTTCAGTTTCGAATACTCAATTTTACATTAAATCAGATAGAACTACTTATTTCAATCAATATTTTAAACATCTCGAACTTATAGTTTATAATTCGTTTCTTGAATTATCAAAATATGATTAGAATTTTACACGAAAATGTCTCTTTGAAGATTTTCATATTGTTCATTAGAAATATAATCAATCATCAATGATATCCTGTAAAACAACCTTGATTAACTAAATTTTGTGATAAATCTCATAGGAGTAATAGTTCGAATATAAAATGAAAGAAAATCTTTTTTTAACTGAATGATAATCAGAAAACATTTTTTTTAATTTTCTTCTAATCAAATAGATCTAATCCATCGAAATATTCTTTCAATAATTCATACACCGAAAGAGCATGACCGTTTATATATGTTTCTAGTACATCTTTCTCATAGATAGTACATGAATTGTGATCTACTTCATATTTTTATCTATGGTAAATATACTTATGAATTATTAGAAATAAACAAAAGAAAATATCATCACATAAGAATAAATTGAGTAATATTCATCATTCTTGTTGGACATATTCAACAAACAACAACATTCTTCTAACAATAAACTCATTAAATCATTGATAATTTCGACTATTGAAAAATGCATTATTGTTGTTCTTCTTGACGACATCGGTCAAATAAAATGACTAAGTATATTCTGAAAGAAACGACAAATTAGAATATTAATTATGAAATGTGATCGGTGTTTCTAAGTAGCAACACCAATCACATTTCTTAATTTAGCTTTATTTGTCTAGTGCGTTGGATCATATATATATATATATTGACCTTTCTCAGATGAAACAAATAGATAAGTAAAGATGAATATGTTATGTTCATGTTCATGTTTCGAATTGAATGAGCTAACCGATGAAATTCTTTTGCTTATTTTTGAAAAATTGGATAATCTTGATATACTTTATTCTTTGCATGGTGTTAATAAACGATTGAATAAAATAATACGTGATCCATTATTTACAAGTAGTCTGAATTTTGTCAAATGGTCATCTAATAAATTTAATAAATTTTCTTCAAATGTTATATTTAATCGATATTGTTTACAAATTTTACCTGATATATCTATGAAAATCAAATGGCTTTACATTGAATCATCATCTGCGAAACATATTCTACGTGCTGCAGATTATCCGAACTTATATGGGCTTGGCCTATATAATATGAAAGAAAAGACAGCTAGACGTCTTTTTACTAGTAAGAAAATCTCAATAGAATTTCTTTTAATTCTAAACAAATGAAAAAATACCTTAAAATGAATATGAATTTTTTCCTGAAATTATTAATATACTTAAATAGGTCATTGAATATATGAAAGAATTTTCTCTAATTTATATTTCAATATGAACTTATCAGTGGTGGATCTAGATTTTTTATGATGTGGGACGATTCGTTGTGACTAGGGTAGGGCCCATCGGGTCCAAGAACTTTTGGACCCGGACCCGCGTGAATACGGCTTCAGGTCGGACCCGATGGGCTCTAGACTAGAGGCACTTCAGTAGAGGGGACTAGGGACGATTATAATCATAGAACGTAGTATCAGATTATTTTTAAGACTTCTGCTGAGAAAAATCTGAACTTTTTTTTGGGCTAGGGGCAATCGCCCCATCACCTTCCTAAATCCGTCACCGAAACTTAGAATAATTTATAGAAATTTTGATTTCTGATTGTATATTTCTGTATTTAGATAAAAATCTTTCATGTGGTTTTTTTAAAAAGCAAATCACAAGACTTATTATAACAATTGATCAAAAGAAAAAAGATCTATTCACAAAAGTGAAAATCTGCAGTCGTATTTTTTCTATATTTATCAATTTAACACATTTAACATTTTCTGAATCATCATTTGAAAATATTGTCCGATTATTAATTGATGTTCCATTTCGAAGTTTCTCTTCTTCAAGTCTTATGGTATTAAATATCAAGGTTCAAAGTTTCTCACAATGTCTTTATCTTCTTGATGGTCGTTTCAGTCAACTGCAAACACTCTATGTTGATTTGGCTAAAGTTCTTTCAATAGATCTACCTGAAAATAAAGTTTGTTTATTTGAAAAGAAAAGAAATTTCATATTTTTTTTGCTTTATTTTTCTAGGTAAAAATTCCAAATCTAAAGTGTTTTGTTCTGTCATGTCCTTGGGAAATATCATGGTATGAAGAATTAATTCTGCCACTTCTTTATCGAATGACAAATTTAGAAAAACTTGGTTTATATCTTACGTTCTATGTTAAAGATACATTTATTGATGGAAATCATATAAAGACAAAAATATTGTCACATATGCCGCAACTAAATATATTTGCATTTCATATTCATTCACTTATGTTTATTAATAATCAAATAAATTTACCATCAAAAGAAGATATTCAACAGACATTCATAGATTTTAAGCATACTAAAATAATATCTTATGTTGATTATTTTCTTGAAAAACAAATAGGTCAATGTCATGTTTATTCATATCCATCTGAAATGCAATATTATCAAAATATAACAAATCTTTTTCCAGGTGGATTATATCAATATGTTCGTTTAATATCATTATATGATGAACATCCTTTTGAACATGAATTTTTTATTCAAATTCCTCAATCATTTCCACTTTTGGAAAGTTTAACATTGATTAATAATCAATCACAAAAATATAAACAATCTTATAACTCAATAAATTATGATTACAATTTATCAATTGTTAAATATAATCATCTTATTACACTTGATATTTCAAAAGTTCATGAAGATTATATAGAAGAATTTTTATTTAATACAAAAACATATTTTCATAATAATATTTTTCTTAATATCAATTATAAATCATTAGAAAGAGTAACACACAATTTTACACGAGATGATACACGAATTAATTGTGCCAAAATAAATGAAATTATTTTAGTTGGAGAAAAAACTTATTCCAAATCTTTGCGAGATTATTTTCCTATTGCAATAATACATTGATTATTATTTAAATAAAATAAATTTATTATCTTATTCAAAGATCAAATATTTTCTAAATATATCTATCAATAGAAAGAAGTGAATATCATCTTCTATGAAAAGTTCTTATATGTCAAATAGTTCTTTCTTAATTTAATAAAAATATTCAAATAATACAAAACATTTAAGTGTCAACAAATAAAGGCGACTATAAGGGTTTGACTACACAATGGAATATATGTAGAGTTGTAGAGGAAGACTTGCTCTATCTAGTATATATGTTGCAGTTGAGATTGGAATCTAGTTGAGATTGGGATCGTTTAGTTTATTTTGTTTGTTTATAGATTTTGTTATCATGCATGCAAGATAATTTGATTGTTTCTTACGAAGTTCATGTTTATTGTTATTTCTTGCATAATGACAATAGATTTATTTTTTTATTTGGTTGATAAATAGTTATTCCTGTT